GGTTCCACCTTGTGTACACTTCGTGTGTCATACAGAATGGCTTTCTGTTTCTTCTCAGTTGCTAATACCACACCATTTGCAGCTTTAAAAAAGAAGAAAAGGAAAAGAAACTAAATGTTTAATCATTTAGAGACTGTTTTAACAGTTAGCTATGAACACAGTAAACCCAAACTCCTTTATTCTTTTAATGTATAAAATGTTTCCTTCTAGATTTCTATGTCTAAATTGTCTAAGGAACAGTCAATCAGTTTTTCTCTCACTGGTCATTTATATACAACCTTTCCTTTCTTTTTTTAGAAAGATTTTTTGCTATAGGGTACACCTGCTTGCCAGAGACAGAGCCAGACAGAGAGGCAGAAAACAAGAAATCACTCCTGGGGCAGGGGAGTGGGGAGATGGCCACGTTGCAATTCCTTCTCCTCCATTCTCCTTTTGGGACTTTGGGCACTCATGCACACATGCCCGGCATGAGTTTCAAGCCTCCAGGTCTGGCACTTGAACCGCAGTCCGCCATGTGGGAGTCCAGTGATGTAACCATTACACCATCTGCTGGTCCCTATATACAACCTTTCTTAAAGTACTCTATAATACTTCAGAGTTTACGTGATTTAAAATAATGCATTTCCTCCTATTTGGGGTATTGTTCTTATAATATGAAATTTAAAACAAACGACAGACTTTTTAAAAAGGTTACCAGAAAATCAGCAACCATACCTTTAGATTATGTTTCATAATTAACTTTTTCTGAACTGCAGAAAGGTTATAAATAGCCAGAGACCAGTGATGCAATCAATGGAAAACAAAAAAACACTCAGTTTTTGGAACAGGAAAAACTATTTGTAGGTCATCACAACTAACAGATAAAGGTGACATATTTACTTTAGAAGAAATTTTAATAGCCTCCTTAGACTTATTATAATTATTTTCTTTAAACTTTGAAATACTAATAAATGAACAAAATTAACTTAAAATTATGCTGCTATAACTTATTTTTTAAAGAATTATTTATTTAATTTTAGTTATTCATTCATTTATTTTAACTTGACCAGAGAAAGAGACAGAGAGAGAGAGAGAGAGAGAGTGTAAGAGAGGGAGAGAGGGAGAGGAAGAGGGAGAGAGAGGGAAAGTAAGAAAACAAGCCACCAGGTTCGGGACTCAAACTGTGGTCAGCCATGTGGGAGTGTCCAACACCTTAACCACTACACCACCTACTGGTCCCAACTTATTTATAAATTATTTACTAACTAGTAGCCACCATCCTCCAAATAGGATAACTATTAATAGGTATCTGAAACAAATGAAGCACTTAATTACCTTTAATTCCCACTGAGGGGGCTCCTCCAGCTACAGCAGCCAACGCATATTCAATCTGGACAAGTTTACCAGAAGGGCTTAAAAAGAAACACAGGTAAGTCCAAATATTCTCAAAGACTTATTGCAGTTTTTTTCTGAGAGAGGACAGATACTTAGGTCAAAGCTCATTCATCAGACCCAAAGAGTAGCTGGCCTTTGAAATCTATCGTGACCTCACACAGAACAAAGTTTTCAAGGTGGTCTGAATGCAGTCGGAAGGAAGCACCGATCTCTCTTTTGGTTATTTCCTGTCTGCCACTTAAAATGAAGATCCCTTTTCTGGCCTACAAGGCCCTGTATTAGCTCCTTGTCTACTAATCTCAAACAAATTGGCCTTATTTTAGTTCCTTTAAAAGCTCAAGCTCCTTCTCAGCTTCCTTCCCACTTTCTGTTGACAACTCTTTTTCAATTTCCTAACAGCTGGGTCCTTTTCACCTGCCTGTCTCAAAAATATAAGCAATGGGCCTCTCCTGACTACCCAATCTAAAGGTATGTTCCTTCTTTCACCTGAAAGACATCTTCCAGAATTCAGTAGTGGGCACCAATTTGTTTACTTATTTTACTTGATTATTATTACTTTTTAGGTTTTTGCCATAGGTCATGTATGCTTGACAGAGAGACAGAGACATAAAGAGGGAAAGTGAGAAATCACCCCTCATAGGGGATGGCCATGCTGTATTCCCTTCCCTTCCCTTCTCCTCCCAGGATTTTGGGCATGCACGCATGTGCCCAGCATGATTTTCAAAGTGTCATCAGTCAGGTCCAGCGCCTTAACCACCATCCCACCTATTGACAACACTATTTTTATTTTTGAAATGCTTTTCTTTTTTTCATGATAGAGCCTGTGCATGGCAGTGGTAAAAGGGGCGCACTCTACAAGGTCTAGTCATACTACGTACGACCCCCTTACTTCTGCAGTTCCTTGGATCTTGGGAATTTGTATATATTGGCTGTTTGAGGCCAACGAGGCCTGGGATTTGAACCATGGTGGCCATGTGGCTTCCAGCACTGCAGCTCAGCATGCTACCAACTGTTCCACCAGGGCTGGGGCTGTTTATTAATTTATTGTCAATCATGTAATCCACAAAATAACTTTTCATCCTATAGTTATCAAGTCATTTCCATATCAGTAGATTGATTCTAATTAGAACAGGTTAGAAACAAATGTTTTCCTTTTAACTAAAATAGAATTGAATTCACCATGTTAAACACCATGCAAACAAACAAAAAAAAAACAAAAGCTTATCAAAATGAAGAAATTTGGGAAACCAGCAGTTAGCGTAATGGCTATGTCACTGGACTCCCACGTAGTCGACTGCGGTTCGAGTCCCGGACCCGGTGGCTTAAACTCACGCCAGGCGCGTGTGCGTGCGTGCCCAAGATCCTGAGAGGAGAATGGAAGAGAAGGGATTGCGGTGTGGCCACCCCCCCCCCGGGGGGGGGTTTCCTGTTTTCTGTCTCTCTGTCTCTCTGTCTCTCTCTGTCTGTCTGGCGAGCACACGCGCCCTATAGCAGAAACCTCTCAAAAAAAAAAAAAAAGAAGAAATTTGTGGGCCTGCTGTATAGCCTAGTGGTTAAGGAAGCGGGATCCCACATGACTATGGTTCGAATCCCAGACCCAGCAGATTGAAAATCGTGCCAGGCATGTGTGTCCAAAATCCTGACAGGATTGACAGCCTGAAAAACACATCCAACACGTGTGTGCCCGAAATCCTGTAAAGATGGAGAAATGGGGAAAAGCAGATTCTGGTGTAACCATGCTCTATTGAAGAGTTCCTTACAGCTCTCCCTCTGGTGAGTGTGAGCACTCTCTAGCATTTAAAAACAAAACAAAATAAAGAACAAGAGATTCTTTATAAAAAGATGCAGGCCTTGGGGCTAGCAAGTGGTGTGGGGGTTAAGGTGTTGACCTCTCACATGGCCCACCATGGTTTGAGGCCCTGGACCTGTGGCTTGAAAATCATGCAGGGCACTTGTGTATGTGTGGCCAACATCCCAAAAGGACAATGGAGAAAGCATTACACTGTGGCCATGTCCCCTGGGTGGGATGATTCTATTACTTTCCCTTTCTGTCAATCCAGGGAGTACACACACCCGATGGCAAAAACCTTACCAAAGGGAGGGGGGAATTCAAGTCCTCAAGATCCATGGTGGCTTTATATTTCAGCCTCAGTAGGATTGTAAATGCTTTCTTCGAGGTAAAAGACCACATTTGCCTTGTTCAGTGACCACTTTGTACATGTTTTCTGTCACTGTATATTATAGCTTTTACTGCAGAATTAAATTTATTTAAAGATTACCAAAAAACAGTGAGGGGATTATATACTTTAATTTCTAAGTGAAAACTGCAAAGAGGAAAGTATTTTTGATTTTAGGAAGACAACATAATGTAATGGAAAGTGTATAAAATTTTGCCATCAGAAAGAGCCCAGTCTGAATGCCAACTCAGCCTCTCAAGGATGGCATCTGACAGGCTATTTAATTTAACTGTGCTCAGCTCATCTATAGGAGGTGACATAAGTCATTCACCAGGTTGGAGATGGGAGTGGGTGAAGGTGCACCTACATAAAAAGGACTCAACAAGTTAGAGCCCGCTGTCTTTAGCCATCAGACAGGACTAGTTTGAACTAAATGGGACATTACTGTCTTTAAGTGGTCAAATCAGAATCCTTCCACAGTCTACTTTTTAAATTCTTGACAATGGTTTTCTCACACTACAACAGTTCACCTGATTTTGAAAAGTATAGTTACTAAACACTTGTTCTACAAGAGAAAAGTCTAAGACCTTTATATAAAGTAAACATAGCCCCTCCCAGTAAAAGTTCTAACGCATATTGTAGCTTAGTACTTTGAGGCCGGTAAGAACTAACTGATAAATGAGAGTACTTTTATATTTCAGTCCTAACGCTGCTAACAGGGCGTTGATGAAACCGAAAGCTGGAGGTTTAGAAAGACACTCGTGCCAAACGGAGGCACAGACATAGACCTAAGTAACCGTGAAGTCGAAGTTCCCCGAGAAAAGAGACAGACACCACGTATTTCATCACGATCCCGAGTTTCAGAGGCTTTCACATCAGGCCTACGTGGACCGAGAAAGAAATCCTAAATTCTGAACAGAAAACTGCCTTCTTTTCTAATCTCCAAAGTGGAAGCGAATGCCTAGCTAGGGCTCTCCCTGTCCTGCAGCCCCAAGTTCCGCCCGGATCCCCCGACCCTCCCGCGGCCACCGGGCACCGCTGTTCCCCGGACCCCAGACTGGCCCGGCAAATGACTTTGCAAAGCCGCATTCCCACCTCCAGTCCCTACTGGACCCTCCAGAAGCACCAAGCCAGAATCCAACACAGAAAGAATGAAGTCGGCGGAGCTCCTGCAACCTCAGCTGGCCGGAGGACATTGAGGACCCCTTCCCATACCTGAATGTAGTCAGCGAAAAGCTGTAACCGCGCTCCGCCATCTTTAACCAGAGAGCCAAGGCACACTCGCACACATGCGCACTGAGACAGGGCCGTCCCCCTCCTCTCTACTTCCCTTCCTTCTCTCTTCGTGATTGGATGAGGGGCAGAGCCTTTTCAGGAGCATGCTGGGTATTGTAGTTCTGAGGGCTGGGTTCCCCGAATCTGCATCTGTGCGCATGCTCGAACCAGGGACACACCGCGGTGGTTGAGTGGATCCCATGTAAAGAGAAAGATGGCGCCGGCCATGCTGGTGCTGGTGGTTCCGCTGTGGCCAGCTGCCCGGGGGCTGCTCCGAAACTGTTGGGAAGGACTGCAGCGGAGGCTTCAGCAGAGTCGGCTAGGCTTCCCTAGTGCTCCGTGGGGTAGGTAAAGAAGGCCTCCGCGGGCAGGACGTTGGGCGAGGGGAGCCGGGGCAGCGTGGCACACAACTCATTCCCCCAGCCCTTAGACCGGGCCTGATCGGCTTCCGCGCGTAGGGGACCTTGTTGTGACTTTCACTTAGCACAACCCACAGCTATTTCTGCGTGCCATCGCCTCCGCCGATAAAACCCCAAATCCCCTTATCCGCTCATATATAGAATGTAATCCAAGCATCTTAGCGTGTATCAAAGGTAAACGCAGCCGGACCTTAGTGAAAGCGCTGAAAACAGATTGTATTCAGTAACTACTGACCGGGGTAGAGCTGAGCTCCATTGCAATTTGTGCTGAGATTTGGGTCTTTGAGAGGGAGGATGAGGAAGAGCAGAAGTGTGGGGACATAGCGCCTTAAAAGTGAAGTAGACAGCGGTTGGCCAGTGTGAAAATGCAACGAGGCCAGCGGCGTCTGCTAGCTGGCAGCTAAGGCCCATCGTTCCTGGCGATTATGTTTCAAAGGAATGGCTCTCAGATCTCTAAGAGACACTTATGAGTTGGGAGGAATATATCATGACAGTTGTAAGCTGTTTTCCTAAGTACGGAAGTTCGGGTGTGTCTTGGCTGGAACTAATAGTAACTTTTCCTGGTAGCGTTGAGTTCTCTGAGGCTGGCACTCTCAGTGACCTGAGATCATCCTAAGGACACAGGACTTAGTTCCTAGAAGGTTTGCTAGAGAGTTCCGTCAAGTCTCTTGGTGCAGGGAATTGGGACAAAGTAGTCTGCACTTCCCCTCGGCATCTGGATCCCTATTCTCTCTCTTTGCTGGTCTTCCCACCCTCTGATGCCCATGGAGTGCAATTCGTCCTTCTCTGGTATTTAGAGCTCTGTGCACATGAGTTCTGATTCCAGTGTCTCCTTCAGGAATAAATGCTACTGAGAAGTATCTTGGACGTTAAAATTCATTGCTTTGGCATTTCCGTTTTGCTCCATTTCGGAGATATCCCAAAGTGATAATACCCAGGCAGTCTGCAAAGAGATGTGTACCACTATATGTCCAGCAATGTGCTAAATAAGCTCTCCACCTGTGCTTCCTGGGATAAGCTTCACAACAATCCAGTAGGTGTCTCCATGTTTCAGCTGAAGTACTGGCTCAGAAGGGTCCCACACAGGCACATCAGCTCCTGTGTTGTTAATCTGTGGGCTATGCATTGTGTTACTTTGTTGTTGTTTTTGTTTTTGAGGCCCTGCTTTCACTGTCTGTATCCCTATTGCATTACTTTTAGATATATTGAAATGGGAACACTTGAGTGTTAAAAACTTTGTGTGCTTTTAAAAGTTCTTAAAATCAAAGAAAGTAAGTCTGAGGAATAGTAAGGAAAGGATTAAGGAATCTCTTTGATTTTATAAACAAAAAAAGTAGAAAAGAGTAAAATGTTGATGGTCACATCAATTATATCATATAAAGAAGTGCTGATCTCTTTTCCTTAGAGGACAGGCAGGAACCATGATTAAATATTATGAAGAACTAATTGACTTAAGGAGCATACCAGGTTATCTGAGAAAGAACCAACTCAGTTTGAATATAATTAAAAAAGGACTGGGACCAGCAGTTGGTGTAATGGCTATGTCACTGGACTCCCATGTAGTCATCCGCTGTTCTATTCCCGGACCTGGTGGCTTAAACTCACACTAGGCACGTGAGCATGCGTGCCTAAGATCCTAAGAGAATGGAGGAGAACTGGTTGCTGGTTGTGGTGTGACCATCCCCCCCCGGGGGGGGGGTGATTTCTTGCTTTCTGTCTCTCTGTCTGTCTCTGTCTTTCTGGCGAGTGCACATACCCTATAGCAAAAACCTCTCAAAAAAAAAAAAAAGGATCAATATTCAGTTATCTTTTTTTTTTTGAGAAATATTTATTTTTTTGCTATAGGGCATGTGTGCTCTCCAGACAGAGAGAGACAGAGAGACAGAAAGCAGAAAATCACCCCCCAGGGGGGATGGCCACGCCGCAATCCCTTCTCCTCCACTCTCCTCTCGGGATCTTGGGCATGCACGCACACGCGCCCGGTGTGAGTTTAAACACCGGGTCCAGGACTTGAACCGCGGTCGACTACGTGGGAGTCCAGTGACATAGCCATTACGCTAACTGCTGGTCCCCAATGTTCAGTTATCTTGATACAAATCCAAAGTATCTTCAGATAATCTCAGTCTTAGATTTACTTGTAAATTAATTAGATAAGTTGAATGTGGAACAATTGGCAGTTGTTTGTTAAAGTTAGGCTACTCTACCAGATTTTTATTTATGTTCACTACTAAATTCCTCAGTTCTGTGTTTCATGATAGAATTTTACTGATTGCATTTCTGCAGATACCTCTAAGAAAAATATTCTATTTGTGTTGTGTGTGTGGGTGTGTGTCTTTAATTTGCCAGGGGTGTGTGTGCACACCAAGCAAGACAAAGAGAGGGAGAGGGAGAATTCAACCCCCGCCAGAGTGTGATTACAATCCCTTCTCCATTTCTCCACTCCCTCCGGATTTTAGGAATGCATGCACATTCACCTGGTGTGTTTTTAAGCAGGATTCAAATCCCGCAGTGGGCCATGTGGGGTCCAGCACCCTTAATGCACCAAGCCACAGGGACTGCCCTGCATTTTTGTTTTTTTAGAATTGCTTTTTGTATAGTATATATTAATAGCTAAGGTTGCCGTATTGATTTTAACGTTCTGAATGTGTGTGTGTTTGTGTGCTGACATTGGTGTTGATTGTTAAGGAGAAAGACTGTAAATAGTCATTTAGAAGCTAGGAACCCATTCTGTGTCTCCATGGTTTATTTTATAGGACCAGCATTAGCAGTTGAGGGTCCAGCCATACTGACAGAACCAGCAAATGCTACCAGTCCAAGTGAGGAGAATTCCAGCCTTTTGGACAGTATCTTTTGGATGGCAGCTCCTAAAAGCAGACGCAGCATTGAAGTGAACCGGTGTCGGAGAAGAAACCCCCAGAAGCTTATAAAAGTTAAGGTAATATGTGCTGTGCTTTCCTCAAGTCTGCTATGTGAGTAGTGTCACTGGCATAGTCATATGGCCTATGGACCAGTTATTCTCAGATAACTTGTCTGCTTTCTTCTGGCCTAAATAAAACACAGTGTTTTCATTACGTGTGTCTACTCTCCTTTAGCCTACATATTGGAAACAGTCAAGGAAGGCATTTGGAGATGAGAGATTGGACTAGGTTTAAAAGCCTCTATTACTTATGAATTATGAATTATATCAGTCCAGAGCTATGGACTTTGAACTAGAAATGGTTAACTATCTTAATTATGATAGAGCTTAAAATTAAAGTCAGAGCAGTAGGTATGTCGGAGCTTGGATTTTATAAGTCCTTATATACTTATTCTGTTCTTTAATAAAATACTGTGAGGGAGACCCTGAGACCACCACCACAATAGCTCATAGTCCCTAGAATGTACTCAGGGTCTTAAGGGTATTATCATGTCCTCTCAACTCGCCAAGCAAATATTATTTTCTTCCTTTTTAGGATAAAGAAACTGAAGCAATGTTCACTGTGTTCACCCAGTCCTTAGCTCTTAAGCCAGAAGTTTAACCGAGTCGTGGTGGGGCTGAACTTAAGTTTGGTGTTGGTGTTGGAAAACACTTTATTACTTATGATTTATAATCATTCCTTCAACTGGGTTGAGAAGACTTAATTTTAGGAATATGATCTTATACCAGTCTTTTATATGACTTCCCTAAATCCACTTATTCTGAGAGAAAAGAATACCTCTGATTCTGTGCATTTATTTTCTTCCTTGAATTACTTAGTGCTAGGTATAATATTATGTTCGGTTAGTTCGTACATGAAAAGAAGACCGACTGACTGACTGTGGGTATCTTCATCCCTTCAGTTGGACATGCAGTCCAGATTAGTGGAGTAAAATGAGACTCTGCTGAGGCCAGTAGTATGAAAGATTGTTTCTTTCAGAAAATAAAATTCTTTTAATAACCTGCCTCACAAATGTTAGCAATTTCATGAAGCGTTTGAAGCTTGTTTGATGTTCCTAATTACTTTTTTCTTCATGTTTTCCTTCAAATCTACCTTCATAATAGTTGAAAACATTTTTTTACAGGTTATAACTATCTTATTGTATCATTAAAGTTGGATGGGCATGTTTAAAAACTCATAAAAATAACCTCAGATTGTAATATAACATGGGATTTTACATTAAGGAATAATCAGTGTTTATAATTTTTTTAAAGAATTATTTATTTTTAATTTTATTTATTCACTTATTTTATTTTGACCAGAGAGAGAAAGTGAGAAAGCAAGCCACCAGGTCCAGGACCTGAACCATGATCAGCCACATGAGAATGTTCAGCACCTTAACCACCATGCCACCTGCTGGTCCCATCAGTGTTTATATTGATAAAGAGAAAAGTCGCACCATGTACCAAGTCCATGTTCCATCTAGGTATTTGAATTACACTGTGGTAAAGCAGAAGCAGCCAACCTGTAAATGCTTTTATCTTCCTTTTATCCCCAAGATAGGTGGAAAGACAAGGTGAATTTTGCTCTTCCTTGGCCTCTCATTTAAGGTGCTGACTGCACGGATCACCCATTGTGTCAATGGACTCTAGATTTTGGAGTTAAGAGAAATAGGGTATCTTTATATGTAAATATGATTGCTGTGGTTAAGTAAAATACACCAGATTCAGCATCAGCAGACCTGAGTTCTAGGTCCCAATGTTTCTACTAATTTAAATTCAGTGATGGTTATCTTCAGTTTCCTTATTAAGGTATGATTGAACTAAATGGTGTGTGTACTTCAGGTAGTATGATTATTCTTTTTTTTTTTTTTTGTAGAGGTTTTTCCTATAGGGCATGTGCGCTCGCCAGACAGACAGACAGACAGACAGAAAGCGAGAAATCACCCCCCAGGGGGGATGGCCACGCCGCAATCCCTTTTCCTCCATTCTCCTCTCGGGATCTTGGGCACACATGCCCGGCGTGAGTTTTAAGCCACCGGGTCCAGGACGCGAACAGCAGTCGACTACGTGGGAGTCCAGCGACATAGGCATTATACTAACCGCTGGTCCCAGGTAGCATGATTATTCTAAGAAAGTTGTTAGTGATTATTTGTGCATTATATTGCCTCTTATTAACGTATTTTTTGTTTATTGTTTTAAAGAACAATATAGACATGTGCCCCGAATGTGGTCATCTGAAACTGAAACACGTGCTTTGTGGCTATTGCTATGAGAAGGTGCGCAAGGAGACTGAAGAAATCAGACGGCAGATAGGGAAACAGGAAGGGGGCCCCTTCAAGGCTCCTGCCGTGGAGACCGTGGTGCTGTACACAGGAGAGACGCCGTCTGAGCAAGATCAGGGCAAGAGGATCATTGAACGAGAGAGAAAGCGGCCATCCTGGTTCACCCAGAACTGACAGCCACAGTGTTAAAAGAGGATAACTTCAGATTGAAACATTTCTCCTGACAAAATGAAGATTCTTTGTTTTTGTGTTGTTGCTGTGCTTATTTTTAAATCATCAATATAGTTTAAAACATTCTTTATAAGTTTTGTGGGGGATCATTTGAAGAATACTTCATGAATAAACTCTGAAAATATTTATTTATACAAAGTTTCAATGGACTAATATTTCCATTTCACTATACTATGAGGTTTTAAGTAAATGAAATTCCCAGAACAAAAATAAAACAAATAATTAAAAATTTATAGCAGAAATTTTGTGCTTTGGCTCTGGTTTGTTTGCCAGTGATTTTTCTTTAAAAAAAATGCATAACATGAATATATTTAGCACATGAAAATAGGCTATTTGAATTCTTTATATTGTTTTTTAGATGGTAGTTGTGGCAGTAGGAAAAAGGTTTGTTCTGATTTCTTGTCTTTGCAAATTATAGTTGCCTTTGGTGAATTCACTTTTACTCTAGTTTACTTAGATGGTAGAAATAGTTCTTTACATTTTACATTAAATCAAAATGACATTCAGCTTAGTTCATGAGATTTGCATCCTATGATTTGGGGAGAGAGATTTTTAGTAGAGCTATGAGCAGATCTCACAGTACACAGAAACTGTTAAGAATATTTTCTTTGCATTATTCCTTCTACTATGTCCTTTTAGTTTCTTTTACATTCAATCATTTTTTTCCTCTATAACAGTAAACTTTTTAACTTCACTTCTTATTTCTCCCCCACTTTCCCATTCGTATGTCTACCTTGGACCCAAAGTTTCGTATTTTGTTTCCTGCCTAATTCAAAATAAAATAATAAATAAAGGAGACATGAAACAGCTTTTTAAGACACATCACAATAAGATAAGAGAATTAGAGTTACAGGGAAAATTGATTGACAAAATAAGATGAAGCCCACAGATACATTTCAAACAAAATGCTTGTCACAGTAACCTGAATACTCAGAACTTTGACTGACCTCCTTTGGAAAGGAGAAACCAATCACAGGAGTCAGTTTCCCGAAAGAAGGCACATAATCCAGGAGGTGCATCACTGTCTTGGTTCTGAGCCTGAGAAAAGTACCTCAGTGAACAAGTCTTTCAAGGCCTGGCTCATTCTAAGCATAAAAACAGATTCTAGAGGAATTGGTTGTCTGCAAATTGTTGAGGCAATCCTCCACAGGTAAATTTTCTTCTGAAAAATTGTACAAGTGCTGCATGTTAAACTTAAGGTAGGTGTGCTTGAGATAGAATCAGTGGTTGATGGGGACCAGCAGATGGCATAATGGCTATGTTGCTGGACTCCCGTATAGTCAACCGAGGTTCTTGTCCCAGACCCGGTGGCTTAAACTCACGCCGGGCGCATGTGCGTGCGTGCCCAAGATCCGGAGAGGAGAATGGAGGAGGAGGGATTGTGTGGCCATCCCCCCTGGGGGGTGATTTCTCACTTTCTGTCTCTGTCTTTCTGGCAAGTGCACTCATCCTATAGCAAAAACCTCACATAAAAAAAAACAAAAACAAAAAACAGAATCAGTGGTTGATGAGAGCTGAGGTTAATTAGGTTCCTACTTGGATATATGTAACTGCCTACTTAATATCACTGGTTGACAAGATTTAAATGATACCTCTAGGTAACAACCTGCCCTTTGAGGTCATGGACTGTTACTTGTTCCCTCACAATTTGTTTTTGATTTAGAAAAGAAAATGTGAGTGAGAGACAGACAGATACCCTTAGTGGTGTCTCATGCTGGGATTCTCCCCCAGCCTTTCCAGCCTGCCAGGATCATGGGTACCTGCACACATGTGGCACATACAGGTTCACTCAGAAACCAAACTTCCAATCTTCATGTGGATCCAGCATGCCAGAGTGGCATGCTACTGCTATGGTATCCTGGCCTGCCCTCTTCCCAAGTTGAAATCCTATCCTTCAATGGGATGATATTAGGAGTTGGGGCCTTTGGGGGATAATTAGGTCACGAGGGTGGAGCCCTCATAAATGAGATGAGTGCCCGTATGGGGAGAAATACAAGTGCTCTTTCTCTGCTGTGCGCCATGTGAGAATGCAGTTGAAGGCCATCTGTAAACCAGGAAGCATAGTCAGAACCAGATCTGCAGGCTCCTCGGTCTTGGACTTCACCCAGCCTCCAGAACTGGGAGAAATAAATGTCTGTTGTTGAAGCCACTCAGTTGCAGTCACCAAAGCTAAGACAGAAGGCTCTATGGCAGGTGGACCTGGTGAGAATGTGGGCAGAGCTGTTTTTTGGTTTCTACTCCTGAACAGATAGAAATGGTTAGATGCATCCCCCGAGGAAACATACTAGATAGCAAAACCAGATGTGTAGTTCATGTCAGAAAACCATGTCATAAAGGAGAGTGCTTATCACTTTTTTAGGAAGGAGTCCCCTCGAAGTTACCTTTGTAATGTATTTAACCACTGCATACTTAGAGTTTTTATCATCGTAGACACCAAAGAGCATGAGTTTGAATTAAGCCAGTTTTTGTAGCTGATTCATTCATGTTTGGGACATTAGATACTAATTCCCCTGTTCTACTCACTCCCTACATCATCAGATGTGACATTTTACTAGACTATATTGAAGGGAGTCAGGATTACTCCCTTCAGGAAATACAGAGGCTGGGGGCTGGGGGCTTTGTTGATAGGGGATTGCTTTCACACTTCCCAAAGAACTGTTTTCTCCTTTCACCCCCACCCTTCCATGTGCAGTTGCTATGTTTCAGGCACAGGATTAGCCCCCTTGACATCTCTAAATCTGTGCTACTGTCTATAATTTGTGTTTCTTTTCCTGGCACATACACAAAAATAGGTGCTCTGTCTTCATCTGCGGCTCATTCCATGGTCTACATTAGCGTTTTCCTCTGTCTCTGTGACAGAATGGTATCTCTTCCAGCTGCTCTTCTTCACTGTTTTCTACTGTGGCACCAAGAATACCTGGGACCAGTGGAGAGCATGTTCCTGGTCTTCAGTGGGATGACTTGGTCCACTCTTCCCAGGGGGACTTTTTACCTTGCTGAAAAAGCTCCTTGCTGCTATCATGCCTTTGTGTTACCCTGTCCCTGCTCTCCTGCCACCCCTGGTGGCCTGTGCATTCACCTTCTCTGTTTGTGAAGTCACTAGTGAATGTCAAGGATGTAAACGGGAGCGAGGAAGGAGCGCCACCCGAGGACCACATGTCTAGGTCTCCTGGATCCTGGTATTCAAGTGCAGAGCCAGCTTGCCAGTTGCAGCCTGCTGTAGAACTGCCACAATTTATTGAGCATCACCGTGTGGCCTCACTAGGGGGCAGCAGGTGAATTCCACTGAGCCTTCTCCAGCGAAATAAACATCAGGTCCAGCCCTGCTGGGCACAGGGCCTGTTTCTACTAGAGCCATCAGCCTATGGCTAGCAGACAGGATTAGTGCAGGCAGAGAAAGGGCTGTCTGCAATCCTGAGGAAAGGCAACCGGCTGCCAGCAAAACAGCTGCCACCATCCTCATGGCAGGGCTTCTCTTCCTCTGGCCTACGGGTCCCTGTTGCTCTCCCTTGGGGTGCTCCCGTTAACCCTCTTCCCATCCTTCCCCCTGGGTCCATGCAGCCTGATTAATAATACATTTTTTTCCAAGAGCATTCTTCAGGAGAAAAGCTCAAAATGCTATTACTGTGCAGCTGTATCATTTCAACATTCCCTAATAGTAACATTTCAGTGGCTAAAAAGAATACCGATGTTCTAATTGGCATTCTTCTAGCCCAGTAGTTCTCAACCAGAAGCAATTCCCTTCCCACCCCTGGGGGTTTTCCATAATTTCTGCATTTTTAGTTGTCACAACTGGAAGGGGGTAAGGCTTAGGGATGGCTACTGGTTTCTAATGGATAGAAGCCAGGGGTGATGTTCAACATTTTCCTCTATCAGACTCAGGAAAACTAGTAATACTTGAATAAAAAAAAGAGTAACATGAGAATAATTTTCTAGGAGTCTCACTGTGCCATCTTAGCTCTTTTGTATTTCTAACTCTTGGTGACGACCCTCGGGTCCATTGCTCCAGCTCTAATTTTTCTATTGCTCTCCTTCTCAGATACCTACACAATATGAGATTTCCACTGGGCCATCATATACATCTCAAACATGCATAACAGCTTTGCCACATAATTTCCCCAGGATTTGCTTCTCCAGTAGCCTAGCTTCTGATATTTCTATCCAATGATAGCACACTCTACCTGACATTCCAGGGAAAGAACTATTGATCACTTATACCCCTCATCCCCACCTGTCAAGCGTGTACCTAACCCAAATTTTTCCACCTTGATAAAAGTCAAGCTGCTACAGCAAAACACTAGTCATCCTTGATTTCTCTCTTTCTTTCTCATCCTTCATACAATTCATAAGTAAGTCTTTTTGGTTCCATAACATACCCTGAATCTATTTGTAGTGATTCAAAGACATGCTGGGACAAGTGTGAGTCAGGGGGGCACAATAATGGATCTGGGGAGGGGTGAGCAGATTGCATAATGGTTACATTGCTGGATTCCCACATGGTCGACATAGAGCATCCTCAGACCAGTGGCTTGAAACTCACACCTGGTGTGTGTGCTTCAGTGCCCAAAAATCTCAAGAAGAGAATGGAAGAGTAGGGATTGTGGTATGGCCAACCCCCCTGAGGGGGCTGATTTCTCGCTTTTTGTCTCTCTGTCTCTCTCTGTCTCTCTGGCAAGTGCACAAACCCTAAAAAAACAACTACAAAAACCAAAAAAAAAAGAATGTACCTGAGGAGACAGGCTGGGGGTCTCTTGTGGTAATCAGAGATAATGTGGCACAGACCAGGAGGGCAGCTGAGGACGTAGAACTAGAGGAAATTGGTACATGTCATAAGTAAATACAAAGGGCTTGATTTCCTGGTTGTAGAAATGCAAGAGAAGGGGAAATACAGGATGATTCCCAGGTTTCTGGTGATTAGGAAGCCCATGTGTAAGGGCAAGTTATGGGAAAGACATGACATGCCTGTTTTTGACAAGCTACTTTTGAAATACTTATTGGACATTCAAACCAAGATGGCAAGAAGGGAAGTGGATATGTGAATATATAAATTTGAGAATAGAGGAAATGTATGTGACGCCGCAGCCATGAATGAGAGTATCCAAGGCAAGTAAGTACTCAGGAAAGACGGAGAACATAACCTGAGTCACGAGTCAGAGAGAATGCCTGACTGCAGAACCACAGAGTGGAGAAGAACAGCGTGCTGCGAGTGGGAGGCACCCGTTCTGCCATATTC